TGAGCTTAGAATATTTTGCAACATCTTCGGAGAAAGTTACTTTTGAAGATCTCGAAGCATTGATCAACTACCTAGTCTGCTAGCCATACATTCTGGCACGCCACTGTTTTCCAAAACGTAAAGTTTTTGTTCCCTTGAGAGATCGATCTTTCTTTGAAAGAAAATAATAATAATGCCTTTCTGCGTCCAAGAACAAGTACAGTAGTAATGTTTTCTGGAAAGGAAGGAACCAAGAAGCACTGAAGAAGTAAGCAACAGTGTGAACAAAACTGTCACTTGACCATAGAAATAGAAGCTGTGATAGAACTAATGAAGATGTTTCTCTTTCTCTCCATGCCTCAACTTCAAGTGAGGAAAGTCCTCAAAAAGATATTTGGCTTAGATTATTTTCAAGATTCAAGAACATGTTGACCTACATTGTTACGGTCCAGCACATACAAAAATGCACCTACAAGTATAATCCTATTACAAGAAAATCACACTTCTGACAAAGTGGAATTTGTTGAAAGGCCATGCGGTGTTTCATGATTTCATCCTTGGGTACGATATTCTGAAAATTTCCCTAGTGGATGGATTCGGTTTATTTTCATATAGAATGCATTCTGCATCAAGCTAGTCTTGATGTTTTTCTATTCAACTGATTGTAAATGAACTAACATACTGCTTGAGTGAATATTTAATTAGGCAGTTAAATTGTAAAAAAGTATATATTTTGAATAAGAGAGGTTTTTTCCTCACTTTTCTGCGTTTACATAAATGAACATTTTGCAAAGTATGTTTGGTTCAGAAAAGCAGATACTCTTGTTAAAATAATTCCCCACTCTATACTCAGGTTAATGTGCAATTGTGTAAAAGTGCTGTTTTAATTTGAAAATAAATAATATTTGGGGAATAATCTCATGGTCAATAGCCTACTCCAATGAATTGTAAAACAATACCCTTTGAAGCTTAGACATTATAGTAGGCAGCTGTGTTACTCTGTTGTAGCAAAAAACAGTATGCTTGCACCTTTTCTGATTAACAATTTTATATTCACATTTGTAAATGTTGCTGATATTATTGTGTGTCTGTTTATGTGTATTTGTATGGCTACACTCACACACCTTTCTTTCTCTTGAAACAGCCAAGAATTGTGCACAAAACACTGTTAATGCACCTCTGAACTAAAATTAAAAACAATACACAAATTTGGATGTCATTTAGAATGCAATGACATCACTGTAAGGATCAAGTCATTCTTAAAGCAATATTTTAAATTACCTGGTAAACATATATGTTTGTGGATGACAAAGTAACTTTAGGTTTTTGCAGAGTGCCCCTGTGTCATGCCCCCCATCAGAGTCTGAATCTGAGGAGAAAGATGAACAGCTGACAGGGAGCGGGAGAGTGGCTCCGTTGGCTGTGGAGGAAACTGGGGAAGGGCAAAGTCAGGCTGGGCAGAGCAGGAGAGAGGTAGAACAAGGGAGAGGGGTTCAGAGGAAGACAAGGCCCACCTCTTCTTCATCCTAGGGCACATAGGGAAGAACGGAGAAGAGAGCAATGTGGGTTGCATGGCTTACAAGGGAGGAAAGGGCCCTGATTCCCTTCACAAGACACATCTGGGAATGGAGTTTAAAGGAGAGGCAGATGGGTGGGTCAGTTGTCGGGGACAATTGCTGAGTTTATCTTGTGTTGCTGCTGTTATCATAGTTCCTGGCATCCTCTCAACTGGTTTGATTTACTGCCGTGTTACTTCACTTCTGGAACTCCTTATCTTGCCCTGCCGGATTTATTACCTTATTTTGCCTTGTTGGATTTATAATTTAAAGTTTTCTGTTTACAACATTTGGATTGGAATATCTGCAGCCAAAGGCTGTTGCAGGTTTGTGGGAGAGTTTTTTTTCTTCAGGCCGGAAGGTAACGGGGATATTGGGGGCAAAGGTGGAGCTAATAAAGGGACCCATACTTATTCTCTGGCTGAGTTGCCTTTGTGCCATCACACCCTGGAAAGGAATTTGAAAATTGGTATGCCATCACTGAAAAAACCCTGTTTTGAAACCTTACAACATATGTGAGGGCTGAAATTGCCATGGCTAAAAGCAAAGAGTCCAAGTACAGATAGGACTCTCAACAGAACATGGTCAGGTTCTCCATACTTGATTGAAAAACGATCAAGAAGTCCATTGCCATGTAAGAGTGGTGGAAGAGATGTAAGATTTAAGCCCTGGAATTGCATAGTGGACTTCATTGCTAGACTTTATTTTATTTTATTTATTTATTTATTTATTTGATTTGCCAATTGTTTACAAGATAATAAGTATAAGTGTATACATAGTTGTGAATACATGAAATGGGTACATATAAGAAAAATAAAAGAATAAGAGAAACAATAGGACAGGGACGGTAGGCACATTGGTGCGCTTATGCACGCCCCCTACAGACTTCTTAGGAAAGGGGTGAGGTCAATAGTAGACAGTCTAAGGTTAAAGT